ACAATATTTGTCATTTTGTGATTGGTTTATTTCTCTTGGCACAGTGTCTTCATGCTTTATCTGTGTTGTACCATGTGCCTGAATTTCCTTTCTTTTTAAGACTGAATTCTGTTCCACTTGTGTATATATCACTTTTTGTTTTTCCATTCATCAGTGATGCACATTTGGATTGCTTGCACATTTTGGCTTGTGAATCAGGCTGCTTTTTCATCAAGTAGCTTAATGCTGTAAGAGGCCTGGACTTTGTCCCTGAGGTGTAGCAACTTTTGATGGACGTGAGCAAAGATGATGAACTTAGTTTCTGATACCAGGAAGCAAACATGCATTCAGAGGCTGAAGGCCTTCAAGCAGAATGTGGTGGAAGGAAAGTTCATTCTTCTTTTGAGAGGTAATATCCAGGTATAAGGAAAATTAGGGGGAAATGGAAGGAAAACCTGTGCAGAGTGAAAACAAGCTAGGAGGCTGTGAATGTGCAGTTCAGAAAAGGGAGCCTCTAGGATGAACCCATTAAGGTGGCTCGTGCCAACTCATGAAGGGAGTAGTATGTCATACATATTTGTTAAGAGCAAAAGGAAAACATCCCGGCTTTTGAATAGATAAATAATTCCTCTTTTTGATTATTTGAATGGTGAATGGCATACAGTGAAAAACCTCCCTGTCACCCTGGAACTCCAGCTTCCTAGCTTCCTTCATCAAGTCTTGGCTGTGCTTCCAGAGACACTTTATACACATTCAGGCAATATGTAATTCCCCTTCTCTACAGATGGTGACCTATTACAATGTTCTGTTCCTTGATTTCCCCTGCCTCCTTAATATATTTTGGCAAACATTTCTGATGAGTACATAGGGAATTTTCTCATCTTTGAGCAGTTATACAACATTCTCTTGGTAGTATGTCCTACTAGTTGAGATTCCCAAGCTCCTCATTAGAGCACTCAGGCTCTGTATCTGGCTTGCTCTTAGAATGACAGCTTCTTGTTAATGCAGATTCTTGGAAGCAGTGATGATGGCCCAAGTGATTGAGTCCCTGCCGTCTACAGGTGTAGACTAAATTCTAGTCTCCCTGGCTTGGCCTAGCCCAACCCCTGCCTGTTGCAGGCATCTCAGGGGTGAAATAATGATGCAAGGTTTCTGTGTCTTTCTGTCTCGCTCTAAAAACAAAAAAAATTTTTTTTGTAATTGTAATGTGACTTGTTGAGCTAGACCTTTATGGAAGGGGTTTAGATTATTTAGATTTTTTGCTGTTTCAGACCATAAAGCAAAGAATGATACAGATTTGCCATTTTATGAATGGACAAATACATTTATAGAATAATTCTTAGAAGTAGAACATATTAAGCATTGGATATTAGGATAACTGAGGGCTTTTCTGCTTTTAAGATTTTTAAAATCTGAAATGCAGTGTGACAAAGAGAGTGTTCATTTGGAGGTTTGCTTCCCAAGGAGCCTCAGTAGCTGAGCCTGGGTCAGGCTGAAGCTAAGAGCCAGAAGCTTCATCTTGGGCACAGATATTTGGGCCATTTTCTGCTGCCTTCTCAGGTGTGTTACCAGGCTCAGAAGCAGAGCTAGCCAGAACTATGGGATGGCAGTGTTGCAACTTACCATGCCACAGGTTGGACCCTTTATTGTAGAATTTTAACCTGAGACATGAAGTTTGAGGTAAGGTAATCACAGCAGCACTGAGGAAGATAGATTGATGAGGCACTTGGGTTCAAGAACAATCCTTGCGAATTAGCATAAAGGCTGCCTTCAAGCAGTGGAAGAAATAGAAAAAGGTACAAAGTCTGAAGACATCTCTTAATCTACATTTGGACTCAAAAGTATTCTCAATTAAAGATGTGAATCAGGAAAACAAACGCGTTTTAAATATTATCTTCAGGAAAATATGTGGTTGCAGATGAGGAAACCAAGCTTCATAGAGTAATTTGTCCAAGTCGGGAGCAAGTAGTTGACCTTATTTTAGTTATGCAGATGAGACTCATTTAAAATGTAGGGCAGAAAACCTAAAATCCTAACTGGATCTAAAAGATCTCAACAGTGCTTTTTACTCAAGTTGTAGATGGAGCAGGTCATGGCCACCCTTTTCAGATCTCATGTAGTAGCTGGTAGCTTACTCTATGAAACTTAAAGGGAAGCTAAAGAAAACAAGGATCGAGAAAAAGTTCAAAAGGAGAGTCTAGAAGGGAAGGCCTATACCTGCCTTAACTCGGGTGAACCAGTGGTTTTTAATCACTTCAATATGTGTCCCAAGATGGCACTGACAGTTGTCCATGCTGGTAAGATGGTAAGCTAAAAGAAGGTGGGTCATATTTAGAATGACCCTGTTTTGTGTTATGTTAATCAGGGGCGGGGAATGTCTGGCTTTTGGGTTATATAAGGCCTGCAAAATCATTTGAGTTGGCCTGCAGCCACAGGCAGGACTTAAAGTTTAGTATCTATAGCAGGGTAATTTTTCAGTTGATAATTTCATATGGCATGTGAATGATGTTATAAATATCCAAACAGCCCTTGGCAGAAAGAAGATTCCCTACCCCTCTGCTGTATTGTTTGTGGGTGGAATTGAGTGGTAACTTTTCAGTTAAAAGTTTTTTTGTTTTTTATAATTCGTGCCTTCCACCTGACTGTAAACATATGCTACTTTTGAAACAAGATTAATTTTTCTCTTTGGGATTTTTGTTTACATTGTTCACGTGGTCTGAAATTATCCTTACTTTCTTGTTAGAATAGGCCCAGTGTGGATGTTGTGACATGAAGCTCTTTTCAAACTGCTCTGTTAAAATTAATCTCTTCCTTTGCTTTAAGACTTCATTACATTTTTATCAGATAGAGGTAAGCATTCTGAGTGCTTCCATTCATGCCTGTTTCCATCCTCTTTTCTCCTATTCCCACTCAGCTTCCAAATTTGAGTTCTAGAAGGCACCTGTTATTCCCAGAAAATGGGATTGCTTTCACAGTACTGGACTACTTTAATATTGAATTGGATGCATATGCAACATTGCAGGTCTTTTTTTTTTTTTCCTCTTCCCTGTCAGAGCAAGAAAAGATAAAGATTCTGAGTCATAGTCAGTAGAGTGACTTTAAATAATGTGAGGGCCCTGATAACATTTATGTACACCAAATGAATGCTGTTCGTAATTTGAGAAGTCCCTGGAATGAAAGGAGCCATAAATAAATAAACATCAGCTGTAAAACTGCTACATCTGTTGCACTTCTATAATGAAAATAGGAATGCTGCATTTTACCTGGCATCAACCAGAAGACTGCCTCTGAACTGGAAGCTCCATGTCAAGTTGTTGGAAAGCTTTGGTAAACAGCAGATTCCTCAGCTAGTCCTATGCTGCGGTCATGGACTGGGGTATGAGAAAGTAAAAATCTCCTTTGTTCTTCTTGTCTGGAAATTTGACTTCTTTCATTTATACTTAACAGATAAATACACATTTCCCTAATTTTTTTTCAAGTAATATGCTTTTGACTTTCCCGCCCCTCCGATTTTTCTCCAACTCTTCCTTTCTCCAACTCTTCTAGACTAAACTGGATTATAATGTTCCCAAAGCACACCTTGCCTAGAAACCTGCTGTGCCTCCTCCTTGTTGTCTTCTAGGTTAGTCTGATATCCTTACTCCAGGTTCTTAAAGATGACCACACCTGTGACTCCTTTCTGAGCATACTATTTCTTTTATGGTGAGCTGGAGTCCGCAAACTATTGATCTGTGTGTTTAGTTTTATACCACCCAGCAGCTAAAAATAGTGTTTACATTCTTAAAAGGTTGAAACAAAATCAAAAGGAGAGCAATATTTTGTGATACACAGAATTGAAATTTCAGTGTTTGTAAAGAAAGCTTTGATGGAAAACAGCCATGTTCATTCATTTACTTTGTTTCTATGGCTGCTTCCTCATTACAACAAAGGAGCTGAGAAGTTGTGACAGAGACTGTTCCATATATAGCTGGCCCTTTATAAAAAAAATTTGCTGATCCCTAACCTAAAGTCAGATTTTTTTGAGATGAAAATAGATCTTAGAGATGTTCTAATATAAGCTTTTAAAGATTTATTTTCTTTTTATTTGAAAGGCAGAATTACAACAAGAGGAGGAGACAGAGAAACCTTCCATCTGTCTGTCCACTCCCCAAATGACTGCAAAACAGCTGAAGTGGGCTAGTTCGAAGCCGGAAGCCAAGAGTTTCTAATGGGTGCAGGGGCCTAAGCACTTAGGCTATTCTCCACTGCTTTCCCAGGGAAATTGGATCAGAAATGGAACAGTTGGGGACAAGAACTGGCACCCATATGGGATTAGTTGGCAGAGGATTTCATTTTTTTCTTGTTAGAGATAGACATTTCTTTGGAAGGCAGAATGGCATAGAGGGAGAGAGGCACACAGACATATCTTCTATTTGCTGGTTCACTCCCATGTCTGTAGCAGTTGGGGCTGGGCCAGGCTTAAGCTGGGGACCAGAAACTCCATCTAAGTCTTCTATGCAGGTGGCAGGGATCCAAGTCCTTAGGCCATGGTCTATTACCTCTTAAGTACATGAGTGGGGAGGAAGCTGGATCAGAAACTGGGAGCATCTGGGACTTGAACCAGCACTCTAATTGGGAAGCAGGCATCCCAAGCAGTAACTTAATTTGTGGTATCACAAAGGCTACCAGTCACTTCTGCTTATATACACATCTTCCATCTAAGAAGTATTTATCTGTCTGGAAACTAGTCGTGCTTTAAGCTCAGCTCAAATTCTGATTCCTCTGATTCCAACAACTAGAATAACTACTGTCTTTGACCTCTAATACTGCTTAATTATGTCTCCCTTTAGGCACTCCTGGTCATTGTTGTGTTCCTGATGTTGTTCCAAGTTACAAGCTTTCTCATTGTACTTATATGTGTTACTTGCATGGTGCCTTCTGCATGGAATTTTTCAGGACATAATTTAAATAGTGCATTAATTTAAAGTGGCTGGACCCAATAGAGGCCTTAAACATTTCTAGTTCTGTTAGAAAAGGAAGAGGTGCTTGTTTTGGCAGCACATACACTGGAACTGGAATAATACAGAGAAGATTAACATGGCCCCTGTGCAAGGGTGATACGGAAATTCATAAAACATTCCATACTTTAAAAAAGAAAAGAGGCAGCACTGAATGATATTTTCAATAGAGGTAACTGCTTAGGATAATTTAGCATATCCGCTTAACAATTGCAAAGTATGTATGCTCTGAAGAGAGAACTTGGATTTGTTGTAATCACCTATTTGTGTGGTGATTATTTAAGTCTTTAGTGCATATATTAATTAATAGGCTTGTGAACATTTTTAAAGATAGTGCTTCATATTTTAAAATAAAATCCAGTGATGGAAATGTGCCACATTTTCTTGATCCTTGGGACTCTGCTGTTATATCGTCTTTTGGGGATAGTTTACATTTGTGAACCAAATATAGGCTTGTGTTGTTCTTCGATGAACCATTAGAATTGAACTTGATATTTAGTAAAGATTGATAAAAGGATAATAGGAGTGTAGTTGATAAAATGTAGGATAACAGGGATGTAGTTGGATTAGAATATGATAGGAATGTAACTGAATAGAATGAAAAGATAAGAGGAAGGTAGTTGAGTCTATAGGTACTTTACCAACACTATTTAGTTTTTGCTGAAAGCAGCAATAAGATAAATGAATGCTCTCATTTTCTTTTAAAGATTTATTTGACAGTCAGTTACAGAAAGGGAGAGAGACAAATCTCCCAGCCTCTAGTTCACTTTCCAGGTTGCCTGCAATAGCTGGGACTGGACTAGGCTGAAGCCAGGAGCCTGGAGCTCTTTTGAGTCCCCCGTATAGGTGACAGGAAACTTGGATCATCTCCCACTGCTTTTCCCAAGCCATGGGTAGATTTGGATTGGAAGAACAACCAGAACCCGAACTGGGACCCATATGCGATGTTGGTATTACAAATGGTGGTTTTATTCACTGTGCCACAACATTGGTCCCACATTCCCTGCTTAAATGGGAATGAGTTATATGACATGGTAGGATTGGAACTCTAGTGGGTTTAAATGTCTGTGGCAAGTGTTCATCATTCAAGAGGCCATATTGATATTTGCATTTGTAACCAAGTGAAACAAAAGGAGATAAATTCAATATTTTTATTAAAGTCTCTGGGTTTACACCAATTCTGTGTCTAATCTGTTATTGTTAAGTCAAGTGGTGATATATGATATATGAAAGACACAGCACATATTAATAGTATTGCTGGGATGGTTAACAGCTTTTATCTATCGGTACATCTTGACCGATTTGAAACTGCAGCAGCTGTTCTCTTATTTCACTTTTCAGCAAGTTAAGAGCTGGCGCTGTGCTCAACGCATATGTAGTCATACTGGAGAGTTGTTTTGCAGTAGTTGAAAATATAGAAACCTGCAGAAGAAAAGCTTCATGGTAAAATTCTGCAAGTTTATTTATTACAAATAGCATAAGATATTTTAGTTGTCAGCCCTGTCATTTGCTACATGGATATTGCAAAACAGAATTTGCAGTTTCAGCTGTCTGTAAGAAATGTGTCTGTAGCTTCAACGAAGAAACATTTTGCTTGTAGCCTTAGTTTAATGGGTGAGAATATTTATTATGGCTTGGAGTCAGACCCAGGTAGTGAATTGTGGAAATGCTCTCCAATTAGCTAACAAGGTGGTTCTAAATGTTAGGAAACATATTTAAAGACTTTTGCTACTGGGTTACTATTTCAGTTTCTGAACACCCTGTAACTTAAAAAAAAAAAAAGTTAACATTGCTGGTCAGTTCATTTAGTTTTAAAAGCTAATTGTGGTCAGGTTGATTTGAGTTGATAATTTTGTAGCAAGTAACAATCAAGAAGCTAACTGATCTGGGCTGTGAAAACCCTCCTGCTTCTGGGAAGTTGTTCAATTAGACAACGGTGGGCTAGAGTACATCCTGATGGTTTTTTATTTGTCCGTTGTGAGCTTTAAGTTTTTCTTCTTTTTTTTAAAAAAAGTTTTTTTTAAAGCCAGGAGTTTGTATCTCTATCCAGAGCTCCCATGTGAATGCAGGGACCCCTACACCTGGGTCATCTTCTGTTGCTTTCCCAGGCACATTGGCAAGGTAGCTAGATGGGAAACAGAGCAGCCAGTGCTTGAACCAATGCTCTGATTTGGCCTTTCAGCCTGGCAGGTAGCAGCTCAGCGCATTATGCCACAGCACTGGCTGCTTTCTTGTCCTTCTTCTGATAGCTCCATAGAATTTGAAAAAAAAAAAAAAAAAGCACAGACATCACTGAATCTCACTCCCTCACTTTAAAAAGGCACAGGATAATGGTCTAGGATTGGAGCAAGAGTGTGCTGAGGTCAGCACCGCTGTCTGAGGATTTTAGGCTCAACAAATGTGCCTTTGTGCCTCATTTGCAAAATGAGATAGTAAATAGTACCTACCACATTAAAGTAATGTATGACTGTCTTGTTTTCATGATTTCCCTACCTGTAAATAGATCTAACTTGATATGTATCTAAATATAATTATTTATTTATAGATGAGTTTGTTTCTCTTTCGGAAGACTCACTGGTATAGAACAGACAGTTCTTTAATTATGTGTAAAACATTTTAGAAACTCTTCCTTCCAAATTGTCTTTTTGGGAAGTGAGACTACCAGTGGGCATAAGATTTCTTTATTTTTAAGTCTTTCTTTTGGTACTTTATTTTTTCATGTTAATGTAGTATTACTACAAAAAGAATAGATTGAATATCATTCATAGATAAAATTCTGATGCTATAATATTTCCTTCTATTTTTGTTATTGTAGTAACCTATTTTTCTTTACTTTTTTTCAAAGATTTATTACTTCTTTGTCAAGTCACACAGAGAGAGGGAGACAGAGAGAGGTCTTCCATCAACAGACTCACTGCGAAAATGGCTGCAAGCAGCTAGGGGTTGGCCATGCCAAAACTAGGAGTCTAGAATAGAAGTCTTTCTGGGTCTCCCAAGTGGGTGGCAGTCCTGGGACCTTTGTCCACTGCTTTTCCAGATGCCTTAACAGGAAAATGGGTCAGAAGTGGAGCAACTGGGACTTAAACCAGCACCCATATTGATTACCAGCATATTAAAAAAAAGATTTATTCTTTTTAACTTGAAAGTCAGAATTACATAGAGAGAGAGAGAGGAGAGACAGAGATCTTATATCTGCTAGGCCACTCTCCCAATGGCCACAAAGACCAGAGCTGGGCCCGTCTGAAGACAGGAACCAGAGGCTTCTTTCAGATCTCCCATGGTGCAGTTTTTGGTCCAAGGATTAAGGCAATTTCTTCCACTGCTTTCCCAGATCATTAGCTGGATCAGAAATGGAGCAACCAGGACACAAACTGGCACTCACATGGGATGCTTGTGGTTGGAGGTAGAGGATTGGCCAGCTGAACCGTTGTGCTGGCTCCACCTTTTTTTTTTTTTTTAAGATCTATGTATTTATTTGAAGAATTACAGAGCATGAGAGTGAGACAACAAGTGTAACAGTGAGTGCGAGCAATTTTCCATCTGCTGGTTTGCTACCCAAATAGCCTAACTGCATCAGGCTGAACCCAAAGCCTGGAACTCCATCCCGGTCTCCTAAAATAGGATGCCAGCATTGTGGGCAGTGGCTTACTTCATTGTGCTACAGTTCTGACCCTGAGAAATAACCTACCTAAGGAGAAAACATTGTAAATGAGTACTTGGCAGTATTGGCGCAGATAAGAAAAAGGTCCTAATTATTTATTTATCATCTGTTAATCCCCACTTCCTATTCCAGTGATTTACATAAGTGTTATGACATTTATCCCTGTGAGAGTTTATTTTTCCCATTTTAGTAATGTAGAAGCTGAGATTCACTGAGATTCAGTTGCTTGCCCTAACACCCCACTGATCATAGCAGAGGTGAGAACTGCACTGCCTCAATTCAAGCCAGTTCTTTCTCTGCCACTCCACTTACTTTCTTGAATGGGGGTGGGGAGAGGAAGGGCTTTTGTAAGACGGACATGGGATACCTTTAAAAAATTCGTTTACGAATTAGTTGTTGGAAGTTATTTCCCCACAGAAACAGTGTTATAAATGGTGGTTACACACCAGGGTTATCTGCAAAAGCTTTGGTATTAACTGAAATTCTGCACATTGGTGAACTAAAGTAAGAAACATGCTTTTGCAATTCTAGCTATTAAAGAAAAAATAGGGGTAGGTGTTTGGTGTAGCAGTTAAGATCCTGTTTGGAACCCTGGATCCTTTATCGCAGTGAAAAAATTTACATTGCATTGTCAAGTTCTTCTTCATAACACATTTCTCAATTTGTGAAGCCTGTCTTGTGTTTCTTTGAGAGAGTTGAGGTGAAAATCAGTAATGGAGAAATGTCCCTGTACGGATGACCTGGTTTACTGTTAATTTGGAGACAAGTGTAAGTAATTAACAGTGTCTGCCAAAAACTCTCAAGGGAGAGAGTGAAGAATTTGTGCTTTGTAAGCCTCCTTATGATCCGTTTCTACATAGGAACCTGGTCAGCAGGGCAGGGACAGCTGCCACCAAGGCAGCTTAACTTTATTTCTGAGGAAACTATGTGACTGGGGCCGAGATTGCTTCACATGAGAACTTGAGACTGATGTGGTTCATCTGCTGTTCAACCCATGTGGTTATGTTCTCATTGACATACATTTAACTTTTTTAGCAGTTGGTCACAATTTGCATCTTTAGGAGGCACTTATGATTTACTTATTTATATGAAAGGTAGAGAAATCGAGATCTTCCATTTACTGGGGCACTCAAAAAAAAAAAAAAAAAGATGCAACTGATGGGGGCAGAGCCAGGCAGAAAGTCAGGATCCTGGAACACCATTCTGACATCCTGTTAGGGTGGTGGGAACTGAAGCTCTCAGCCATCATCTGCTACTCCCAAGGTATAGTAACTAAGGAATTGAGTTGCACCAGAGCTGGAACTTCAGCCTCCTCTCTGATACAGGATACAGGCATCCCAGATGGAGGCTTAATAGTCACATTGCCAGCCCTGGTAGTGTCTTAATACTTCATGTAAATATACTAAGAAAACAGTTGCTATATCTTAGAACTTTGCCTGTATTTTTCTGATTATGAAACAAATCATACTT